AATACACAAATATTACACAAACAAACACATATAAACAATTTACAATCAAATTGAAAATATTTAATGCCGGTGCAGCATAAAATTTACAAATAGAATTACATACATCCAAACAATATATATGAATGCAAACATATATATTTATTCGCCACGAGCCGCTCCTTGAAAGCATTAAAGTCACCCCCCTAACATTTTATTTTAAATTCTTTATCAACCCTATTTTATTTTATATATTGTATAGAAATTTGGCAACTTTGGAATCTAGAAATCCCTATAAAATTATTAGACTCTCTGGTTCTGCGCTTTGACTTTTGTTCTCCACATAATTTTGACTGAGTTGGTGGGTATGTCATATGTAGCAACATACGCTCAGCTATTGATTTTTATCTCTCACTTCGTCTCTTTAAAATATGTTTTCGAAAAAGGGGTATTTGCGAAATTTTTCTTTTTAAATGGGCTGTAGTAACAATCCACCCTAGGTCGCGACTTTTTCTCACTTACAATTGTTTTGCTTGATGTCTGAATATTTAAGTGTTCTTCAAAGGTTATAAATATTCTTTTGAGGTATTTTTGTTATGTTAAAGAACGATTGTCTCAGCAATTGAGTAGAAATAGAATATTTGACTAACGGGTATATATTCTCAAAAAATATAAAAAAACCGGTCAAAATATGAAATTTAAAATTCATACTTTTGTGAAGATAAATTATGTTAGTTATTAACAATAAGATCTGCTGACACATGAAGAGTTTAAATTTAAATGGTTAATAACCTACATATGCCATACGAATATATTCATAATTTCCAAGGCAATATGCGTGACTTTTCTTTAACGAACTAACATTAACTGACTTCTATTTTTAAATTAACTTATAGAAAGTAATAACTAAGATATAAGATAATATATCTTTAATTATATTTAAAGCTACTGCAATAGGTTAGAAAAACCCGGCTGAACCTACTGAAATTCTAGAAACTCTAGATAGAGCAGTAGCCAGAAATTTGCTCAAGACGCTGAAACCTCCTTCACTCTTCTGACAACAAGTCCATGCCTGGCGGTATATCGTGTTTGCCGGTACTTAAGGAAAAATATTTGTTGGTCAGTTTTCAACCTTCTTTGGATAGAAGCTTATGAATACAGGCGCTATATTATTCAAGATACTTCACAATGTCGTCAATATAGAAACCAGTCAAATACTGCTCAATACGGATTGTAAAACATTTAACCATCTTATCGAAATTGTGTGGATTGGGGAATTAAAAATCATCCGAATTGAGAAGGACTTTTTCGTATTCCACTTCACCGCTACATCTAACTATACTATTATATTAATTAATTTTCTTGGCATGATATTTTCTTTTAGGCATGGCTTAATGTAAATGAAATTCTATGAACTTTCGAAAAGATAGATTTCGCTATAAGGTATTTAGCAGTGGTTATGGATATGTTAACGAAATCGTGTACTTGGCCTTTGAATTGTATCCATAGAAAGGAAGTTGTTTAGGTCCATCGAAAACTTTATGTGTAACGACAATAAGCAGAGAAATTTCAAGTAAATTCTTTAATGATTTAAGAGCTTTATCACGTAATGAAAATATATTACATATTATAGAAGACAATGTAGTTTATTCATTGTAAATAGACTTGGTTCTTGAGTTGTTTCTTGAACATGTTAATAATTATAAAAATATTTTATACAACTGTTTTAGAATCTGTGAAAATAATTGTTTTAAATATGACTAAGTACTTATAAATTTAAAAATTATTATCAACGTGACATTCAATTAAATATACAATATTTTACTGTTATGCAATCCACCAGGGTACTAAACAGTTAACGGCGCCCGCTGATCCAATGCATACATTCACTAGATAAAACATATCTAATCTATAATAAAGTTTATTTAGGTTATAAAATTTCAAACTCAAAAAGTTTGTATTTTTTTCAATGATAATGTGTTCCCAGTGGCATATACAATGGAGGGTTTTGGGGCTCAGACCAACTCTATTAAACGTTTACATATGAAATTTAAAGTACTTTTCAAAAACCCTTAAAAACTAAAAATTAAAGAAAAAAAGGTAAAATATATTAAGTTATACGTAAAACAATTTTTTTATAAAAAATTTCATTTATTCTATTTATCAATATGACAGGAAAACTAGAATTTTTGAAACTTATTTTTAAAAAGATAATCACACACATTTTTGTAGATCTATATAATTTATTATTTTATCTATAACGGAATTAAAAGTTCATAACTGGTTTATATATCAAATATTTTCAAGGTTAATATCGATATTAATTAATATATTCAATTATTTTATATGGGAAATATTTTGTAACATAGGAAATTGATATATGCATCATAATAGTTATTTTAAATTACGTTCATAAGGTCTACTTAATTATATATTGAGCAGATAAAAATAACGATGCGATACAAAATATCATTAACTCGATTTTCTAAAACACTGAAATTGATACTGCTGACATTAAAATAATGTAAGCAATTTTATTTGTAATATAGTCCACTTCACATTCAACCATTACCTTGGTAAGGGATCCCTAACTACCTTTATTAGAAATTCTTCATTGTGCTAGATAAATTATAATTACTTAAGATTCTTATATATGTAGAGTCACTTAAAAGAACAAATATGTCACAGATTCCTTAGTCTAAATAAATTTTAAAATATATTAATCACTGGTTTCTTAATTTAAAATACTTCTTTAACTACCATATTTTAAACATTCGGTGAAATGTACAATAAAATAATCACCCATCTAATTTATTTATCCTGATTGATTGCCTAAAAATGTGTCCTGTACTTCCACACGGCTTTCATTGACTCGATTGAAGTCTGTGATTTAGCCCCAAAAGATATTAGGTTCATCATTATTTACTCGGGTTGGGTTAGGAGTACTTTTTCAGTCATAGAATGATTGATAGCGTTTGATCGAACAGTACCATTATTCCTTCTAATAATAATAAAAGTGTTCTGATTTTTACAATATTTTCTTACTCTTGCTCACTGAGATGGGATTTTGGCACTTCGGACTTTAGGTGCCAATGGCTAAAATCCTTTCCTTTTGCATTCCGAAAAGTTGATTTTAGGGTGCACAAGTCTAATATAAGGGAAATCGATCCTTTTTGAAAAAAAAACTACATTTACGTTTTTTACTGACGTGGCAAACTTTTATGATTATGTTTTTTATAGTGTTTAGAGAGGTGTGGAGTATACATTTCGAATTGTAAGTACCTTTCGTTATCACACTTTATTGATCTGTGAAATTTAAAAATGTATGAGTTTCCGATAAGTAAACAAAAAACTAAATATTACAAATCAAAAATAGAAACATGTGATAATTACCAAAAAAATATCGTTTCGCATGATTTTGTGATAACAAATTTGGAAATTTTTTTTTGATTTTACCAAAAAAGTTATTAAAATTTTACTTTTATACATTTTGTTAGTTAATAGCGTAAAAGCTAATTAAGACCTTTTATGGTTCAACCTTGATTATGGAACTCATTTGGTAATTCAATTTGAAAACAACGAAAAAAAAGCAACAACAACAGTGTTGTTAAGTGTAAGGTAAGATTAGTTCTTGATAAAGCTTATTTTGGTATTTTTGCAAACTACTTATAAATTAAATTGTTATAAAATTCATCAAATATATATATGGAATATAAGATTATATAAAAAAACAGAAAGATATAGATTTTTTTTAAATAAAAAAAATTAGATTTTTAATTTTGAATAAATCATTCTGTAAATGTTAATTAACATTAATGTAGGTGTGGTTTTATTTTTGATTAATTATGTGTTGATTTATGCAATAATTATGTAGTATTAATTATATACAAATTGCGTCAAATAAGTATATTAAATTTTAATGATTTAAGTGACAAGTTACTTGACATTATGAAATACAAAGATTCAGTTATCAGATTATATGTTTTTACCATTTATCTTATGGTATGTTTTCATTGACAAAAATTGGAATACTGGTTAATACTGGTTATTTTAATTTATTAAACAAAAGGATTATTTTGTTTTGTTTCTTTTAATTTCATTTTATAGATTAAATCTAACACACTTTATGATTTTAAATAATTTCGTTTGTTATTTAAATTACATGTATATTATAAGGTTTTTGATGAAAACACTGAAAATTCTTATTATTTCAATATAATTCAATTATTTTTCCATCACTTTAGACTTTAGTGTAATTTAATCGAGTCATTGACGTTGCAAATTCTAAATCGAAAATAAAAGTTAAATAAACGATTTTTGAACTAAACCATTGGTGCAGAGTATCAAGCCTTTGCACTTAATCATTTCACTAATTTTGAACTGAACTCTGTGAAATGCATTTTCTGAATTGAAGGCGAACATTATATAAATCAGGTTTTAAAACTAAACCAAACGTTCAGAGTATAAAATAACTAAATAACTCTGTAATGCTTGTGAACAGACCCACGAACGGGTCCATTGGCCATTTACATATTCTTAAATAAGAATGAACGTTAAATAAAACAGTTTTTGAGTCCAACTAAAAATTCAGAATATTGAAACAAATTATACTTACACATATATATACATTCGTATATATACGTATATTTACAATTTTAATTAAATTTATAAAATATAGGATTAAAATATTAAAAATATGCTAGACCAGTGGATTGAGCTATTACGTAAAATTGCTACGGTTCACTGCTTTGACTCTGTAATATATGTGTAACGAATCACGTGCAGGTCGATTTGTTATACATATTCTGCACCAAAGATGAATGTTAAATAAAAGGGTTTTAGAATCCAACTAAAGATTCAGAATATTAAACCAAATCATATATTTACAATTTTAATTAAATTTATAACATATAAAATTATTATATTATTTATTTTTCTATTTATATAAATATTTACTATTTATATTACTTCGTTCTACATTATAAATTAATGCACTTTATCTGTTTTTTAAGGAAATATTTTTGAAATAAATTATATCTAACGTCTTTTTACTCCCTTTTCATTGTGAATTTAACATTGAACGTACCCTATCGTCTATTGTGAATAACCACAACAAACAGCTGTTTGGCGTGGAAAAAAATACTTGCGGCTGTTTTGTTTTCATAACCAAAACAAGAAAAAATGTATTGTACAAATTTATTAATAAAAAATGGAATAGAAAAATGTGTGCGTAGCGCAAATATATTACTAATAACAACAACACGAAATGGACATACTATACGTGGTAAACCTCCAGGCGTAGCAAAAACTCTGGAACAAAGACTGCAAGGTAAGGAAGTACAACGTGCACACATAATGTTTTATAATCACTACAAAAAAAAAATTATTACTTTAGAAGAAAATGTGAAAGATCCTGAAATAATTGCACGTATTAATATTGGTTTTCCGCAATTAAAAGCAGCTCGATCTGCACAGTTGAAGGAGCGTTTGGCTGTGATGAAAGCACACCGTAAAAATAGTGATTTAGAGAAACAAGCACGTAGTCGACAACGTAAGTAAAAAGTTGGTTTTAAATTTTACTATTAAATATATAAATTTAAATACTTTTAGTACTAATTGATTTGAAACAAGTAGAAGAAGATTATAATAGAGCAAATGGACAATTTGATTTGCGTGTTATTGCCGATCATTACGGTATCTTTGAACATTTATATGGTTATGCTTATTTTATACCAAGAATTCCTTTAAAAATACAGGTATGTTTATTATGATAATGATTATTACGATAATTAATGTTTGTTTAATTACAGTATGACAATAGTAATGGCAATTTTAGTCAAGTTTATAATGGAAATATTATCAAGCCAGCAGAAGCTGCTCAGGTACCAATCGTAGAATTTGATGCGAATATAGATCCACTTACTGGAAAGGTTTGTAATGAAAATATAAATAAAATATATTTATATTTTTCTATCTGCAATAAGATATTCCCTACAATAATATATATATTTTAATTTTTTTGAGTTTTAATTTGTTAGAAAATTTTTTAATAGATCAGATCTTTTATCTAAAAATGTATTACGTATCTGCATCTCATAAAAAAAATATTTTTATAAGAATAACTTATTATTTAGAAACCACAAGGAGATACTTACTGGACGTTATTGGCAACTAATCTTGATGGAAATTTGAAGGCAAATGAATCTGAATGCTTACATTGGTTTGTGTAAGTTTTTAAAATTAATATAAGAAAAAGAAAATTTTTCTTTAAATTTAATTAACCCAACATTCTGTACTTCAGATACTATTAATGTGTTCCTATTTTTTGCAGTGCCAATATACCAAATGGTGATGTGAAAAAAGGTGAAGTTCTTGTAGACTATCTGGCACCGTTTCCACCTAAAGGATTGGGTTATCAACGATTTGTCTATGTGCTCTATAAACAAAACTCAAAATTGAATTTTAGTAGCTATAAATTAGACAAAGCAGATTATTCAAATTTAGACAAACGTACATTTAAAACATTTGACTTCTATCGTAAATATCAAGATGACATAACACCTATTGGTTTATCATTTTTCCAAACCGATTGGGATGAATCTTTAACAAATTTCTATCATAATGTTCTAAGTAAGATAAACTTAATAATTGTTATAGCTGCAGTAATTTTTAATATATATTTCTATATTACAGATATTAAAGAACCAGTATATGAATATGATTTTCCTGATCCTTATCTAGCTGATCAAAAATGGTTTCCTCTGAAGCAAGCATTTAATTTATATTTGGATCGACATCGTGATATTAGAGAAGTCAATAAACAATATTTAGAACGGAAGTTAGCAAAAACACATCCATTTAATGGTCCCGAACCAAAGTTGCGTTTCCCCAATGCACATTCAATAAAGGGAAAACCGTCATGGTTGGTGACAGAAATTAAGAAACAACGTTTAGGCATGGGACGTATTAATGATTTCTGAATGTATATGTTGTTGCAACTAAATTCTTTCTACCAAAATATATAAATATGGAAAAAAGTTTATGTGAGTTAATTATTTTTGATAACATATAAAATTTTATGTTAAATGTTAAAATTTAAATTTAAAGTTCCGCACTTTAGAGGTGAATATATTTCTTTACAAAAACCCTGGGTATATTCAACATACCTATCTATTTTTTCATCGTAACTCGTCTTTAATTGATATTACTTCCTCCATTAATGTCTTGCTCTCTGATCATAATAACCAACCTAGAATATGTATTAAGAGATTACAGCAGTCCAGATAAATTAGCGATTAATTCGTACACTTCCTAATCTTTCTATTCCGTGGTATCCAATGGGCCTTATATGTGCCTTAGTGAGCTTTGTTGCACAAGACTCTTACTTCGACCTGACCTAACCTTAAACTTTCAATGCTTTGTTTCACATTTCTTTTCAAACATCCATCCCCTTCTCAATCTAAGAAAAGAAAGCTGTGGTAGTAACTGCCATTTCAGTTTGAAATCTTAACATCTCTGACATATCTATTATGTAATCACTTAGAATACCTAAAAAATCTAGACATTTCGTTGACATCATGCAAACTTCTTTTAAATTCTTTCTGTGCTAAAATTTTTATTTAAAGATGGGAAGACTTAACGATATGTAGACATCTGTATGCAAGCTATTGTTGTTGTTGTAACCCGATGGGATGTGATCGTGAAATCCCTTTGGGAGGTGTTAAACGGCATTTGGTTACGGGCGTTCGTATCTAAGTTAACCACGTTCTGTTAAGAAGAAATTCACTATTCTCATTAAATGTCCTGCGGAGATATTAGTCTTGCGGTAAGTTTGCTGACGGATCGCAGCCTATTAGGAAACCATGCTAGAAGTTTGAATCTCAATTTTAATCATTCTTGTCGCAATTGTGCTTCACATATATAGTAGACGTTGAAATTGCTTTACATCTGCTTCGTTATTGTTCAATAGAACTAAAGTCAATTGCCAGAATAACCTCATCTAACGTATATATATATCTAACTTATGCGATCACATCTACAGCTAGTTAGATAGTAATTAAAATTAAAAACAATATTTAAAATTAAATTCACATAATTTAATAATTTTTTTGTTTTATAGTTTACAATTTCTTTTACAGATGTGATGCATTTTCATATGCTATCAATATTAGAAATTTTTTTCTTTTACACTTATATTAAGTATATAAATTGGTAATAAATATTTGGCACTGGTTAATGAAAATATTGCAACTTAAATTTTGTCTTGAAGTTCTCTGAATTTTTTTTACGCTCACTGCTTTAAGTTTTACTTCAATTAAATTAATTTAAAATGATTAAATTAAAAAATTTTTATAAATGAAATATAAAAATGATATTGCTGAATTGTTATTGACACATTGCGAAATCATAAATTTAAAACCGTTTCAAGAAATATAACCTATTATGCATTGATTTGTTTTATTTAACAATTGATTTTATATTTATATAATTTAAGTTTAAGTACTTGACCGAATTGTAAAAAAATAAGTAACGTAAAACATTAATAGTGGTATTGACAATCTCGACTAACGAGCTGGTTAACCGTGTAATATAATAACAGTGTAGAGCAGCAAATAATGAAACATATTTACTTAAAATAATGATACGAACTCAATGAGCGGGTAACATGGTTACACTGTAAACTACCAACAACAATATACATGTAATCGCAGTTACTCGGTGACCACTCATATGTTTTAGCTTAGGCTCCGTCACTTTAAAGTGGCTACGTGTCAAAGTGTTGATCCAGTTAAGCTTCAATTAAAATTCCACTCATCCTAAATCCATTTTTCACAAACAATTCTCTCTTCTTTAGCATTTTTTTTACTCAACCATATTCTAACCCATATATTCGTTTTTGTAATTCCTTCTGCCATATAGATCTTCACGGATTATCACAACAACTATAATGTGTTTTATTGTCACACCTTTGTATTGTTACTCAGTTAACCAGCTTGTTACTCAATATTGTGAATACCCCTAAAATTATAAGCGTCTCACAATTCAACAGTCAACAAAATATAACATTGACCAGAATGCGGTTTTTAAATTTAAATCTGAGGTCAATTTGAGATAATGGATACAATATTATTACATTTTAAATATAATGTAGATTTATAAATGCTTTCAAAATTTAAGTTACTATCTCCTGTATTAATAATAAAAAGATATGCTTAAAAATACAATTTTAACAATTAATTAATTACAACAACTATGAACAAAAAGTTAATTTTATGTATAAATTATTGCATTTTGTTATTTTTTAAAAAGTTTGATGCTTTAAATAATTAAGTACATACATTTATAATGAATATGGAAAACACTTAATATTTTTATGACTAAAGAAACTTCTTGTGTGATTTTAGAATTTTGTAATCTTAATAAAATATTTGAACCAGTGTTATGACATTGTCCTTTTAAAAAAATATATTTAGGTTTCTGCTTTACCATAGGAGCCAGTTGGAGGTCTGTACATAGCCGGTAGGGAAAGTACTTGTGGTAGGTTGAAAGCGTATTTGCGTTTGTCAATATTTTTAAAGACATTATCCATGCGTGTGCCCTCACTGAAAACAATAAATAATCGTTAATACTTTCAAAAAAAAAAAATTTTGTTTTTTTTTTAATAATGTTAAACTTATTATAAATATTTAAATTAATGAAATCCTTTACCTGCGCATAGTTTTCAGTACGAATGGTACATTTTTTGCAAGTAAATGAAATTCTTGCACCAGCATACGACATTGCTCTAAAGTCACAGCCATACCTGTGCGGTCCTTTGCACTTTTACATGAAGTGAAGCGTAAACCTGACATCAGTCGACAAGCGTCTTCCGCCAAATGCAAGATTTTAACATTTTTAGCCACATTAGCACGTAGTTGTTCTTCCATAAACGTCAGTATAGTAACTAATGCTTCCGTGGCGGGTAAATGTGGTTCATGTTTACTAGGCGTATCCGGAACTTTCAGTTGTAATTTGCGAAACCGACTATAATACTGTTTTAATCGCACATAATTATCCCAATTGGAACGTTGTTGTTCTCGTGTGTGTCCAAGTGTTTCCGCAATTGTTGCCTTCTCATTAATACCAATGTTGAAAAAGACAGGAGTTACTTTAAAAGTCAACATTTCCTTAGTTGGCACAATAGCATAAACATGCTCAGGTACTGGCAATAGTACGCTTAAAGATTGTCTAGAACCAGTTATACGAGGCATTGGCACAATGTTTGAATCTCTATGATTATAAAAAACATAAATAAATAAAATGTACTAATTTATAACTAAATATATTTTACTTTTGCAAATTGCTACGCACAAGCGTAAAATTTACAGCTAGCAAATCTTCTATGGCTATACACATATCACCCCACATATCTGTTTCACCACCGTAAAGCGATAATAAGCCCTCAAAGTACACTATTGGGCCCAAGTCGCAAAGAATTTTTATAAAATTTTCTGTGATGTCAGTACCCCAAAATTTGGCCATAAATGCGCTAGTTAATGCTGTCAACTGTAAGAAGAAGAAATTAAAAGTTATATACTATATATTAATTAAAATAATTAATTAAATTTTATTTACCGCTTGTGAAAAGCATACATCCCGGCGATACATAATTTCTAAATTAATACTGTTACGTCTCATGTCTTGTTGCAAACGTTGTACAGAATGCATAAGTCTCGCAGTCTTTAAAAGTCCATCCATGGCATGACGTAGTTTGCGCATAGATGGACGCAATTCTGAAGCCCAATCTGTTGTCAACGATAGATCCAAACCTATGAAAAATATGTACATTATTTTATAATATAATAGCTTATAAATTCATAAAAAAGTTTTGCATTCTATACAAAAATGTTTTTAAATTTATAAAACACAACTGTTAAGTTAACTGATATAGCTGTGCTTTATGCGTTCAATTATAGCATATCAAGGAATGTGATTAGGTGAAAAGAAGAGTTGTTTGGGTTAAAAAAGGGATAAATGTGAGTTTTTCCAAATTTAACTCAATTTGACAACTTGCAGTTTCAGAATTATACAGGGACAATAAAACCAATTTTTGTTTCCAAAGACCCTTGTTTGTGGATACTTGATAATAACCAAAACAGCCGTATTTTTTCTTCTCTATCCTTTTCTCCCATTGAAGCTGAGGGGCTTCAAAGAGTTGTATGGTCAGCCAATAGATTTTACTTTTGTTTAAAATTATTTTAATAAAATTTTTAATTAATTTGATTTTTAACGTCCCTTTTGAAGAATGAAACTAAAATATTATTATAAACTATTGCTTTCAATAAACAGGCTTCTTTCGAACAGTCGTAAATTACAAGAACATAATTATTTATTATTTTTAATTAATTAAATTTTTCACTGACCATACTTATTATCAGGGGATTTGAATTATTTCTTATATTTATTTTTTCGTAAATAATTTTTTTGATAAGGGTTGAACTCGTGCCCAGCCAACTTTGAAGCTCAGAGTCGGTGTTCATCACCTAATTGATCCAAAGCCGTATTTGACTTGAATTTTCAAACTTGGAGTTTTGTTAATTCACTGTTAATATCCAAATTATTATCCCTACTTCTATAAATTTATAATTGAAGAAATGTTTAAAATAGCCATTACTCACCATCGGTAAATTTATTTCCTTTCTTTGTAGCCATATTATTTTCTTCTGACATTTGTATACTTGGATCCGTTGTATCGACTAAATGCAAATTCAAACCGTTGCCATTAATAACGCTTTCTGATTCCGTATTAGAATAATAATCAGTTTGATTACCATTATCACTTAATTGACTAGACACCACATCCGGTGCTGGTGAATTTGTAAAACCTGCACGTTTCATTGCCGTCTTTGGATGTCTTAGACGTATTGCTGGACTACCGCAACGACCACAGAGAAATTTTATTTTGCTAACTAAACACATAACACTTGCTTCTATATTCAGTTGCGTTAAATCTAAAGGTTCCGGTTCTTCTGTAGGACGATAATAATTTGCTGACGGTGATGAGCTCATAATTTTTGTATCCAAAAAACCAGCAGAGTTCACATTTGCATTCATGGGTTCCACATCATCATAACCATAATCACATGATTCAGCATTTCTGTGTGTATTTTTGTATTGTTTAGTATTAACAGTTGGCATAAAACTGTTGGAAGACGTTATTAAAGTTTCATTTGGCACTTCATCTAAATTTACGAGCTTAAAATTAGAATCGGACATATATGATTCTTCATCCATATCCGGCGTTTTGGCAAAATGACACTCATTGATATTCATGTCATTACTCCAAGTGACGGGTAAAGATTGAAAGGTTGCCTCGGCATCAGAAAATTCGTTGTTATAAGCTGCAGTTTCTCTCATTTTTAATTGCTCATTGTAACATTTAACAGTGCGATGCAGATTATATATGGCGCTTATATCCAATGCGGATGCTGAAGGTCTAAGACATTCACTATTAGAACGAACTAAAGTTCTTGCTGATTGTTTTGTAGGCGTTTTTGTACGTGGCCACAAATCAGGTGGTGCCACAACTGGTGTAGCAAAATCTTCCAATTCAGGTGATTTTAAATCCAAAGCGCCAAGTTGTTGTGTAATTTTGCGAAAGGGTGACATTGGCTGTAAGAGTAGAGATTTTGAAAATACAATTCCAATTAGTTAGAATATAAGAACTCACCATTAAAACATTGTCCGGCTCCTCTATAATGCGATGCTGTTCTATAAACGCAAAAGCATCCTCTACCAATGTAGGTTCCCATATGTTTAACAATGTTTTAGTTTTCGTTATCATTGCATTACACAAGGGCATCATGCCTTTGGGATTTTTGCACTTCGCCAATATCAGTAGTTGTGACATTATTTCTACGATTTCCTTGCGCAACTGTTTTATGGCTTGCACTGCATCATTTGCGGCCTGAACTTTACACGCATTACTAGTTTCGCACTTTGTGGGTGATTCTTTGGTTTCTTGTAATAATCTTAAAGATAACAAAACATGATTTTATAATAAGAATAATAGACACGATATAGTTTTATTTGGCACCGATATTTAACAACGGATTTTGGCAAGTTTGGGTGTTTGAGTTTTCAAAGTTTCGAGATCCCCGATGTTCTTGTAAACCGTGGTGATCTCTTTATGTGATGCCTTTTGGAGGTGGGAAACGTACTTGGTCGTCGAATTAGACGAGTGGTTTCGCGCAGCTCTAGTATCAACCCCACAACTCTGTGAGACACAACGGATGAACATCCAATCATGTCAGAAAACGGCGTAGCGGATTGCGACGAGCTACCATTGTATGTCGCATGTTTGTGCACCTTCATACAGAGTCGCAAATGCTTTTTGTAAAAGAGCACAATCAACGGCTGTCCAAGCAATATCTCTTTCCGTGCGACACAGATGGGCATCCGATCTTTTCTTCTTATCATAGATATATCGACACCTTTTGCAATGGAGCTAACATCAGTGAGGTCGAATATAAACGTGGACCTACAGCCCTCTACACAAATGTAGTATCCTTTTCGAAACCAAGGTTGACCCACAACAAGGTTCTACCTAGGCCTCCGCCTAACGTTTCTCACGAAGAACGCCGACTTCGTCGTGTAGCAAGAACTCCTTTAGCTCAATTGAGATCAGGATATAGCCATATGCTAAACAGTTATTTGTCACGCATAAACACCTTTATTTAGATCTATACCCAAACTGCAGCTCAACCCTTATCTGTTCTGTTGTCATCCAATTGACTTTTCGATCCACCCCATTGAAGTTGCCAGGTTTTTCCGTCTGGATCCGAATTGACATCAACTACATATAGAGATGATTTCACGTAGTGAAAAAAATAGCTAGTAGTAGATGATTGCAGTTTACCAAAATCCGATATTAAATCGATACGACCCAGAAATCATAACTATACCATTATTAATCGAATAATTCTTACCTAATTAACCCTCCTGTGCGGCCTTTGGTTGCGTGTCTTGTGAAGGCACCCACTGTTATGATATCTAGAACACCTGTACGATTTAAACCGTCATTATGTGCCCACATACGTTGTAGATGCAAATTGACTGGTATAAATTCTAATGATTTATCCGTTTTGACAGATGAACGTTTGAAGAAAGGACCTAAAAAGTACAAAATCGGGTTAATTGTGTGCTCTTCTATTAGTTTGATTAGTTCACCTTCATCATTTGTTAATGGCTGAAGATTTTGTTTGGCTTGTGAATAATCTTTAAGTAGTTTTAGGTGCTTATCAAGTAAATCCATTTGTCTCCGCCGCCACTCACCACCCAATTCACCCATACCCGATATTTCCTGTAGTAATTCCTTTTCTCGCTGTATCCAAATGGAGCTAAAAAAGTAGTGTAATTTTTATTAAGCTAAGTAATTTTTTTGTATAAAGTAAATTACAATAATAAAGAACTTACAGCAATTGTTGTGGTATAGCAAAGCACAGTTTGCTTTCCATTAAAGTCTCGTGAACGCTTATATCACCGCCAGTTCCAGTATGTAAGCGATATGTATGAATCTATAAATAAATAATTGGCAATATATTTATGGGTCGATCATCAATATATTTTCGTTTATCACTTACACTTGGATTTGCAAAAATACGTTGAATGTTACCTTGAAAAGGTACAAATAGTTTAACGCCCAGCTTTGGGGGCAAGGATTGCGAACGACGGTGACCTGTAGGAGATAAATATTTCTTATACAAAACATATTTAGCAATGATCTTTTTATAACAACCTTTTGTTTGTTGCTCAAAAACTTGAGTTGTAGATCGAGGTGGCGGCTGCTTCTCAGTATCAGGCGCCCATGAAGCAATTGTAATAAATCCACATTCACCGCTTATGGAACGCAAAGGGATACGAAAACGTGTAGCATCCTTTAAGGCAACAAATATATCATTATTAAAAAAGATTTTAGGTAAAATATTTTATATTATATTTGATTTTAACATTAGTTAAGACGTTAGTGACTATTTCACTTAATGAAACCAATGGTATTTAATATAGAGGATTCGAAAAGTAGTGAATGGCAAAAACAAAATTTTTATTATATTGAATAAATTGAAATTTTGGCAGACCATACAGCTGTTTTGAGTATTGCCAAATGTCCATTATCAGTGGTCTTGGAATTATTTATAATATTTATTGATTCGTAAATAACTCCAAGACCACTGATAATGGGTATTTGACAATACTCGAAATAGCTGTTTTGTCAGTTAAAAATTCAATCTATTAAAAATAATACAAAATCTGTTGTTGCAATTCACTATTGTTCGAAACCTCTCTTAAAATATTTTATGTTAGTAGACTTACCTGTATAACACCTAAAGCAACTTCAGCGAAACCCATTGGCACAGAGGTATGTGACATTTTTTCACGTATATTATAAACTGTGAAGCGTAGCATTGAATCAGTATTAAAACCGTCGCTGTGACGAAAGCAAACCGTGCATAAAAATTGTGGATTACTGGAGTTCTCGACAATTTCAGTGCGTGCATAATCACGCCAAAGCCAGTCATGACCATGTGCCAGTACAGAACAAACAACACGCGGATTTGGTGGCCTTCCATTATCATCGCAAGGTAAGTTATCACAGGACAAAGCTGACTCACATATTGGCACCTCCGTTAAATCTGTTAAAATAATAAATAAACGATTTTTAGTAGATAAAATGCAAACGCAATTAAATTACAAATATTATGTTGTTTATTGAAAAAAGATTTACCTTGCCGTTTTCATATTTTAGTATAAAAAAAACTCGACTTGATTCTCTTATGAAAATTAATAAAATTTATTCACATTAAAAACAATGAAAACATCTCAGAAACGCTATAAGCGTTTGTGATATGTCCTTAAATGACTATGAAAAATTCAATAAATAATCAGAATTTGTACAATATAAAATATAAAAATAAATATTAAACCAGTACCAATTATATTACAATTTTTTATTTTTATATATTCATACGTTTTAACTACATTACAGAAAAAAAAACTAAATTATATATAAATGAGTTATCTTAATTCGTAATTTTTTTCTTTTAAATTATAAATTTCAAATCTCTTAAAAGTCTTATACAGTTTTCTTGTATAGAAGGATACTACATAGATACCTAAACACATACCATAAATTAAAAGTCTTAAATATTGTAAATTTTTAAAAATAAAATCATTAGAGGGAAGTGCTTAAATATTAAAAGTTTAATAATAACACTAAGTTGTTCAAAATATTCAGATTCATTTGAGTGGTATATTATAGAAAAGTATTAATTCGATGAATGGAACACAAACACCTAATTAATAATGTTTTTAAAATTGTATAAGATCACCTTCTTCTTCTTTAGTGGGCTCTGGAAGTTCTGCACCCATGCTTGTACTGGCATTGAGCAACAAATTAGCATCACTGCCAACAGCACAAATAGGTGTACCATGTTCGATGCGATTACCCATTTTGGCTGCTATCTGATCCTGCAGGTATTTTATCTGTCGATTTAAATAGGAATACGAAGCAAGTTGCAATGCCTTTACCTATGAAAAGAGATGGCATGAGATAAGTGAGAATTTTAAGAACTTTTAATATAGATAACTAGTTACTTACCCAGTCTAGGCGCTCTTCAGCAGTCCGAGCCGATATGCGTTGTGGAGGACTGCCTTCAAATTCTGGAAAATGGTATATTATTATTTTTTATTATCTCATACTAAAATTATAAAGACTATATCAAGTAAAATTATTACAAAAGTATTTGAACGATTGACGTAGCTCTTCGCAGATTTGAACATAGTAATTGTACTATTTTATACAATACAGTAACGAGACAATCAACTGACTGAAGTTAAAGCATGATTAGTAATTTTATGATGGAAGGTTCCAAGAATAGCTGAGGGGCCACATCGACCAACTGCCAGGCATCATTCTCCAAAGGGATTTTACAAGCAGACTCTAGCGAATTACAGCAACAACAACATGTGAGGGAACTGGTTGAGATCAAAAAGTTCTGAAATTACTCGTCTACACAGCTTAGTTCCAACTTGGATTTCACATCGGTACTAATCAGTGCTACGCCTCTACTCTGTTATTTTTGTTATACTATTTTATGTTATGTTTCTAGCCCCTTTGAATTTTGAAAAAAGCATATAAAGGGTGGATAAAACGTACACAAATAAAAAGAAATGAAGAGGCTGAGGGAGAGTCAAATAGGAATAGAGATGGAATACTGACCCTAACTTAAATCCAAGTCAAGGAATCTTGCCATCTCAATAGAATAACACTATAAATCAATGAGGTTTATGTTTATATGTGGGGCAGAATTTTAAGTAGGACACAGTTTCAAGACAGACATATTCATATGTCACTGGTAACGATTTACACGTTGCTATATTCGGATCTTAATTGGGCTAGGACAATTCTTTTATGCTGTGTGGCTAACGTGTCTAGTTATCATCGAAGTTTTATTGCTCCATTGTCTCATACTATTGAGTGGTTATACTGCGTTATATACTATTGACTTATTTCTGCCTTATTAAGATAATCTGCCTCTGTTGCTCTGTTAAATTGTGGCATTGTATTATAGTATACCAAAACGATTCAACAGTGTTTCTCATTACCCTGTAGTCGTTTCAAGGGAGAATTTTTTTTAAAGTATTTTTTTTTAACTGAGAAATAAGAAATACTGTACCTATATAAAAAAATAGTATGGTAAAATTATATATGATCAGTTCTAAAATTCAATATGATATAAAATTTATTTTGAGCAAATATGTCTTAGATTAAGGTTTGGTCAATAAAAAAGTTTGCAAAGTTTTGAAAGGAATTCCATTTTTAACTAAAGAAAAGGAATTTTAAGATCATATTTATTATAAGAAGATTTTTAATATCCCCACCTTCTCAAGATTTCAAGTTATTAGTTTCATTCTTATTTTCTTTTTACTTACCCAATATAAAAACGTAACCATCAAATTCTCGCTCTTCGTTTCGTATTATGGGGCGACAATTCTCTAATAACAGAACACCGATTAGCGGTGAACGTGGATCGTGATCCTTTAGGTAAAAAAGCAAATTTCCTCGTAATTTACACCAACGTGGATAATTAACTGTAAGTAATATGCATTAATAATCATTATAAATAATATTTAATGAATATAAAACAAAATTGGAATAGGAAAATTGTTAAGCTGTAGTGCTGAAAACATTGTAGTGGTATACCGAAACCATAGAATTTCCATAGGCAGTGTTATGTGAAGTTATTTTGTTAATATAAAGCTGCTTGGAAATCAATTTTTGATCAAATTATTTCTACAAAAAGTGCTACAATTATTACTATTAGTTAATAGGTTCCTACAAAGATATACATAGTATGGGACTGTGGTCAAAAATTTCCAATAAATCAAATTAAATATAAAGAAAATAATGTAAATATTTGTTAGTTCGTTTTCTTCCCAAAAATGGTTAATATCAAAGTTTATATATATATAATGTATTTCTTAGGTTATTACCTATACAACAAGGATTAGAATGTCTTTATGTGCCTTTCTCCTGTTAAATATCAGAAAAATATATAAATGCGTAATTAATAATTAACTTTATACATATAGCAATTTTTATACAATTATATTACATATTTCAATTTAGTTGTTATCTTAGCATAATTAGTAACGGTTTTCAGATAAACAGTAGTTCTTAAATTCGTGGATTGACTTTTATATATAGTATAGATTTATGTATTTGAGATCACAAAAAGTGAGTTGTAACAGAACTTATTCCAAGAGCGACAACCAAGTCCATTCAGAACTTTCAGCAATGAAACTAATATTATAATAGACGATAGAATGGCATCTGTTTTAGAAACAGACATACCTATTTCATATAAAACCAGTTTATCTGACCTTCGTATTTGGTACAGAATTTGTAAACCTAATGGTTCGTGTGTGGTTCACCTTAATTACAATAAAAAATTTTCATTGGATTTAGAGTTCGGTGACTGTTCCGGTATATCCATATCCATATCCATAATACTTCAAAAGATAAGTTGATAAGTAAGTTATTTGAATTAATTTAATAATGACTGTTTGAAGACTTTCTTCATAATATATAATATAATTTCTTTTTGTAATATTATATATTAATGATTCAAAACGAATTCCAAAATAGTGTATACGTGAATGACTACTTTTTATAAAAAGAAATCATATAATATTTTTCAGGGTGAAAAACTCACAAAATATATATATGGTATTTAATTGCAATTGGGATTTGTGAAAATATATGGACCATTTGTTTATAAAGACAGTTTATAATATACCATTTAAAGTAAACAACTCGAAAGTAAATCACAGATTGTCATATTTTTTTTTGTTATATTCGACCCATTCATATTTATTATATGTAAACATTTAAATTTATTTATATCTAAATATAGAAGATTAGTTCAACTTACCATCTGTGCGCCTAAAAAAACCTTCTTGACGTTCTGTTATAATCAAAAGACCTTCTTTATCAAATTTCACTGCTGGATTTGAGGCCAAAGCTGCTAATTCAGCCTTATTGAAGCGCATAATTTTTATCTACAATTTGTGAAAATTGTTGAATTTAAGTTAGGGCTACAAAAAGAAAGAAAAATATATTTTTTTTTATTATTTAATATATATAGTATACAAAAAATATAAATAAAATTATAAAAAAAATGCTCATAGTACTAGATTAAAGAAGAGATCATACTTTGTACCTAATAATACAATAAAAGAAAATATGTTCTATACATGTATAGATTAAGATGGCAATCTCCAGAAATTGGGATTCACTTAGATTGATTCGTCCTTTGTGATGTGGTTGAAAAACTTATCTGTCTTTCGTAGGCTGGAAGACCATTTTGAGCTTTTGAAAGGATTAACAGGGCCTGTTTAGTAAATAGTTCACTGGGCCTACGATGTATAAAAGATCTATATATTGCAGGTTGAGAACCCATTTCGAATATTTTAAATAATTAAAGAATTTGCAGAGAGGAGATATGATTTTAGTCCTAGACTAGAACCGTGATCCTAAAGAAACTAAATACTATTTAGATTGAGTGCTTGATTGTAATACCAACAAAAAACTATTCGTTTATATATTACAGGTTGGGAAGCCATATCGAGCATTTCAAATAGTTTAAGAATTTGCAGAGAAGTAAGAGTCTTCTCTTAACTTACAAAAGTTGCGTAAAAAGTATAGAGTAGAACCACGATCCAAAAAAAAATTAAGATCTATTAAGATTGAATAACCCATTAATAGGGTTATTGTAACCTTTTGCCGATTAGGAAAATTATAACTAAAAAATTCACAGAAAAATGACTTAAATCATATACTGAATACGAAAAGAAAATATGATTCTAATTAGTTTAGTTAAGTCTAAGTTTAGGAAACTATAGACTTTAGTGTTAGGACGATGATCCCGCTCCATTCGAGCCCTATACTGTGTTAGTAGATTTTTACAGTGGATAAAACAGTAGTAGTACAATGTCCAGTGCAACATTATATATTTTAAAAAGAATATTTATAGCTTTTCCATAGAAAAATTATATTCACTTCTCCAATGATGTCATTTGCATGTCCAAATCAGATATGAACGCAATTAAATTTTATGTTTTTTTTTCGGTAGAGATTTTTAAGTCATAAAAACCGCTTTTATTCAACAAATTGTAATTACTGTTCAGATTAACTAACATTTACCCGAGGGAGCCGAGTTGCCTAATTGTCTGCTGGTATCTAGGAGTGTCATTGTATTTCTAATAATTATTTCATATAATTTTAAAACTCGTGTGTTTAAAACAAGTTTAATTATATAAAAAATATTATATAAGTACTACATACTCGTTTATAAATTACTTAGTGACATTTAAGCATCTTTCGTTAATAAATTTGAATTTGAAAAATTTTTATTGTCTCCACTTAACACCTTTTGAGTAAAAAATGTATCTTGCGTGTGGCACATTTTGCAAATGTAATTAATTTTTGAATTATTTTTGACATTGAATACTTAATTTTTAGCAAAGTGGGCTCTAAACGTATAAAGCTGCATATTCATTTATTTTATATAAATATTTTATTTATAATTATTTTAGACAATTTGTCATAGAATTTAATCATCCATTTTTTTATAGTTAAAGTCATTTACTTAATCATATTTCTTATCAGCAAGAGGACGCATTTATTTAGACTTGATAAACCGACGAGAGATGGAAGTTATTGGACTCACAGACACTAAGTAAATAAAATTTTTATTTAATTCATTTTTATACAATAAAAACGAATTAAAACAAAAAAGAAAATAGTACGTCTATAATTTGTGAGAGTACGTTTAAGCTAGCATTGATTTATTATAATAAATTGAACATTAATATATTTGATATACGTTTGTGCCCAAAGTGGTCATTTAGTTTTTTTTATAATTCAAATGTATAATTTTATGCTTGTTCTTATCTCCATTCCATACACAATCCAATTAGGTCTGATATAAATCAATTAGATCTGTTACAAACTAAATAGGTTTAATAAAACCCTATTAGATGTGACACAAACCAATTAGGATTATCACAAATCAATGATACAAAACAATTAGGACTTCAAATAATTTCAATGAATATTTACAATACATAATTCAATTATAACTATTCACTTTAGTTGTACTAAATCAAGTTTTATGGTCTGACTGGATTAACGAAATGGTTGAATTTATTCGTAGTTATATATGGACTTTATAAAGTTTACGATGTGTGATAATCCCCGGGTCAATTTAACTATACATTTTTCTATGAAAATCGACGATGTAAACCGCACATATTTCTGAAGTGGTTCGTCTGGTATGGTACATTGCTTATATACAATGTACCATACCAAACCAGTTCTAATATTTATACTTCTATGTCTTTACTCCTTTAATATCTCAAACAATACTTTTTCTTCTTCTCCGCATAATCGCGTTCTAATCCAGTTATTTTTATTATAATTCCTTTAATGTTTTCTGCTTTATAATGCTATATTATGAGTTACATTTCTATTATTCCTAAAATAAGTTTCAAATCTAATTTGAACATAATGGCTTTACAGATGTCTTTTGACTTGATGGAAGGTAGGTGATGGTACTATTGTTGTCACAGCACCCAGTTGGAAAATGCAACTCCACTTCGAATGAAAGTGAATGATTACTGTTATTGTACCCGCGTTTATTTGGGTTTTCACTACAGCCACCACGACACTTGTTTTAAGGGCCCAATCTCTACTGGTCAGAATAGCCGAAGCTGCGAGCTATGACTCCCGTGGTCTTAGATTCATAACTTCGGTTGTCATTGCATATAGTTCATATACGATATTTTTAGAAATATAAAAAATTTTTTTGTGTAAGTAAATGGACATATTCAGGCATATGGAATGGATGTTGATAGACGCCGTATTTCGATTTGATTTTCCAGTTAAATTATTTTATATATTCGTATTAATATTATAATGTTAGCTTCAATTCAATCTATTACGTTATTATAACTGCTATTATTTAAAAGTTTTACGTCCGTAATTAGTATTTAATTACCCGGTGTAGAGTGCTTAAGTCTTTGAGCGCGTGAAATTGTTAATAAAATTATTTTTGATTTACTGGTAAAAACAAACGGAAACCAAAGAAGAAATGCGGTAAACGAATAAATTTGAATTTAATCAAATGCCGGAAAATTACGGACACACACCTATAATTTCAACAAATTCGAAGTATTTTACACCTACAAAATACTTAATTGCAAGTTGTGTACGCAAAACCGAATTAATAAATAATAAAAAAATAAATAAAAATGACGTTCGCAATGTCAAAGACATTTTGTGAAGATAAACCGAAAAGGTAAAGCATAGAAAGAACCTTGCTTACACACTCCAAATATGGAAAAATAATAAATAAAAATAATGCAAAACCATTGCCACATATCCAAAACCATAAACAACAACAACAAAAACCACTAAAAAGAAGGTCTGTACTCGGATGCTACTAGACAAGTTGGCAGGTGGCAGCGATGTAGACAACGAAAACATATTAGGGAGGAGAAGGAGTAATTGATGCATGGATCAAAAAAATAAAAAGTGAAGAACATAACACACTATGGTTAAGTGGGCGGGCGGGCTTAAGTACACTTGATTTAGTGATGCTCGGCTGGGTGTGCTGCGCGCTTGAAGGACGTTACTGGTTACGAAGTCTCTCGTTTTGTGGCAAATTGAATTAGTAGCAAAAATTTAGGTTTCTAACACCGCCAGGTAAAAAAATACAAAAACAAAAAATAGTAATGTCAAATGAATAATAAATAATTTTGTATTCGGCATCTCACCTCATCAATAAATTAATTACACAAATCGTTGATTTTTGAACATTTTTTCCTCTAATAAACTAGATTTTTATAAATATTTCTATTCCATAAGAACAATGAATTTTTTATTTTATTTTCTTAAATTTAGAGCAGTGACCTCTTATCTTGTAACTTCTCTTCAATTTGTTTTCAATAAATATCTATATATTTTTTTTCTTGTTAGTCACTTAGCAATTTTGAATCTGTTTATATTTTTAGTTTATTTACAAAATGTTTATTAATATCTGTATTTCAAATTTGGAATTTTTTTTTACAGGCAATCAGGTAAATTGGGGTTCTGCAATTTCAACAAAATCACAATTTTCACAGCTGCACACCCCACCAGTTTACCAATTGCCAACAACTTTCTTCTACGACTAAACTTTTTTCAGTTTTATAATACTATTTTGACATTACACAGCTGTTGTCAAATTAGGGTTGCATTTCAAAAAATGCAGTCTTACACTAAAGTGTACTTTTTAATATTTTAGTAACAGGGTTGTTATGAAATTGTTATTGAAAAATGTTGTTGAAAAATATTAAACTATAAAAACAATATAAGCTTTAAGTGTTCAAAATTGTTAAAACATATTAATATAAAAAATATAAATTTTTAAATGTGCGGAAAAATTATAGAAATATAAAGAATTCAAAAAATGTTTATTTAAATTTATTTTATTAATATATGATATTCAAAAGTGTAAACTAATTAATAAATGTTAGATTAAATTTAATATTATTAATATATGGTATTCAAAACTGTAAAATAAATCAAATATTGTTAAAGTAAATTTAATTTTATATCAAAAAGTAGTATTTTTGCTCAATATAAATGCACCCTAAAATTATACTTCTGTTGCCTTATTTAAAATGAGTATTTAAAAAAATTATGTTTGCTTTTTATATATAAGTATAGCATATTTAATTATTTGTTTAAAAATGTTTAAACATGTTTAAAAAAATTTTTTTACTTTATCAAATCATAATTTCAGTACCTTTGTATATAAAATAAGACATGATTAAAATTTTCTAAGTGTCGTAATGAGTTTTTATAATGTTTGCTATGCTGTGTAATGTTACTTCACATATGGGTCTCTCTTTCACAATATTTTATTTCTCAAAATTGTAAACTTAGGAGTTATTTAACATTAGTGTTCATTATAAAACTATAAAAATCTCACGTATCAATTCCCGCTAAGTGACGCCTATAATTATCGTTTGTATTATTAAGGTGTATCCACATATATCTTTACAGAATAAGTTGTTCATAAGGCTACTTTTAACGGACTAAAAATAATAATTGCATGAATATTAATATATAGCCATTCATATATATACACTTAAACTTCCATAACTCGAAGTCTAATTTCACAAAGAAAAGGTTCCACTTATGGAGTGAAGTGAAACATTCAGAAATTAGGTTTTGGAATTTTAATTTTTTTTCTTATTTTTAGTAAAAAAAGATTCCAATTTATTCCAAGACTTATAGTGATCATCAGTTGTAGTATCATTCGTTTGCAGATATAAATTCAGATATTTGAATGAGACTTCTACTTCCTTCTTATTAGGCTGATGAACAATTACATCCACCGTAGCGCAACGGAAAGTGATGTTCCATTGCGCTTAGAATTGGATCCAGTAATTTAGAGCTATAGTTCTCAATAATATCGACATCTGCACTAAAGCTTGATGTAAAAATTTCATTGTCAAGTTCAATATAATCATTCTCTCAATTGTTCTCATTGCTCTCTAAAACCTTAGTGCACTGCTTTTGGTTCGAGTTATAGAAAATTCAATTTATAGAAGTTCGGGTTATGGAAGTTTGACTGTATATGGAAAACAATAGGGGGATTTACTTTGTCTCGCAAAGTCATTGCAAGGTGTATGAAATGCAGGAATGCTATACTAATACAGAATTGCAACCTCAAAATGAAACATCTATTTTTGCTGCATACCACATCCACATGATAAGCAACAGATGAGGATTTATACATCCCGATTCTGCAGTTGGTTTAAGTTAAAAGTTAAGACATCTTTAGAGCCGGTAAAGGTTATTCCTTCATTTCAGAAGGCTTTTTTGAAAAAGTTTATATAAAATAACTTTATTAAAAAAATATTTGTTTATATATAAAAAATATATATTGTATGCATGTGGTACGAAATAATTTAGGAAGGCTTTAATTTCAATTAAATTTCTTTTTTACGTTACTTATTGCTAAATTTATTATCCACAACCATCTCACCACATCTGAAAAGATACTCTTCTGACGTGTACTACAAAATTAATAATTAATTAATTAATTAATGTTAAACTTATAAGAATACTGTGCTTTCTAATAGCAACAGAAAAGAAAAATAAGGCAGCAAAATGTACCTCATAAATTGCACCCTCCAATGTTTTTTATCATTTACTTGTACTAACATAATTTAATTGCATAAAAAAAACGAAGTAATAGAAAAAAAACAGTTTTCTAAACAAAAAAGTGATCTGCTTGTTAGCGCGTACAGGTAAATGCAGCAAACAAGTAGCGAGTAATTTATGTTGTTGCTTTTGGTTGCATGTGTGCCCTCTCACTCGTGTGAAAGTATACGTTACAATTGTCTCTTGTATTCAACTACGCTGATCGATATGAGTGTGACAAGAACCAAAAAGAGGAATATTTTCAGTTCTCATTTGAATGTTGAATCGGTTCGGATGTTGTGTCGGGTAGTTGTTCTTTTCAACTGAATTGTGTAAGCGCAGCTTGTAGTATTGTTGTTGTGTTGAGTGTTCAATAGAATATCAATAGCAAGAAAGAAAATAAAGAATATGAAATTTTGTTAATAGTTTTATTGTTAAATGAAGCCATTAAAGAGTTTAAAGTTATTTAAAAAATAATTATTATCTACTGAATAATAATCAAAAGTATAAAATTTTAATTTACAAGTTATTGTTAAGTGAGAAGCGTGAAATTATATTACTAAGTTAAACAACCACATTAATCTTATTATTTATTATTTAATCATTATTTAATAAAGCAATATTGCAAAAAGTGTTACGATTCATTTTGCGTCTAAAAGTAGAAGCAATAAAATTGTGTTAATAAAAATTAAATTAAATAAATTAAAAGTGTCTCAAAAAATAAATATATTTTTTATTGAAATAAAATATTTACATAAATAAATAAATTCTAACGAAATAAAATAAATACAATAAATAAGTTTTTAATTAGTATAAATATTATAAATATAATAAATACCAATCAAATAAAATTTTTTTAAATGGTGAGTATTTTTGTTGCAACTTAACTTCTTATTAGTTTCAC